GGGGTGTGCGATAGACTTACCTCCAAGTGGTACATCCTGGACGACGTTTACTCATACGGCAAAAAGTCTATAAACCGGAAGTTGACTTCTCACTTCAAACTACCACGACCCCTCCCCCCTGGTTGTCATATTCTACCCCTTCCACAGTGCTCACTTCACCATTTTCTCTACTTTTGTGTCTGCCTGTCTCTTTTATATCTCTAAAACACCCTTCTGTTCCCCCCTCTTGACTTTTTCCCACTTCCTTCCTCTCTGTGAAGCCTGAAGTCAACTAAAGGGCTAATGATAACTATCTAAACGCCTGCCATTTGATACAAATAAATAAAAAATGCTGAAATGTGTTTAGTTTTTGGAATAAATAGAAGGAATTATTTTAAACAATGTCAACTAACATTGAGAAAAAGAATATATTACGTAAAAAATGAAGAAAAAAATAAATATAGTTGTTAGTACTGATATCATTCATTAATCGTTACCGGTAACTGGGAAGTTCATAACCAATTTGCAAAGTCTGTTTTCCCAATGAAAAATTTGCTCCAATTTCTGTGATTCTCAAAGTGAAAATCGATTAAAGCTTTCAAAAAATCATAGGCTGAAAATAATTTCAAAACTTTTATAATGAACTAACTAGGTTTGGTTTTTGCTACGTACGCCATTTTGATCATTTTAATTTAATTTCAGCAAAGAAAAAAATGACCGAAACAAGCAAGAAAATCCACTCCAGCTTCTGTCTCAACTAAATCTTTTTTTCCTGTTTAACTTAATAAACATTGAATTTAATTACAAAATTTTTGCCAAATTATTTTTCACTCGAGCGAATGTATTAGAATTTTTTCAACTTAAAAGTTTGCAAAAAAAATAAGTGCATTTATGGTGATAACTTTTTCTAGGAAGTGACGCTTTATTATTTGAACTGCTCCTAGCCATGAACGCTTATCTGCCAACAGTGACAACACAAAAAATTCTGGATTCACGCGAATTCACGACTGAATCAGTAAACACAACGGCTACACATTCGAAGGAGAGAAATGCTCGTGTATGGTTAAGCAAAATGCTGATATGAACACATTTAATTGGAATGTTTTAAGATCGTTTTCCTAAAACTCGCAGACTAGTAGACTAGCAAAATCGGTTGAAATTGCAAATGAAATAAGGATGGGAAATGCGGGAGTTGGATATGACTTAAATCAATGGCCAACCAGTAGAATTATCGTCCCACATCTAATAACTCAAATTTGAGGAAGTGGTAAATAACTATCTCTTAGAAGGCATTCAAGTTAGCAATTAATCATCCGAAATTTTCATGCAATAAAGAGCATATATTTTTCCAAGTGGTGCTTATAATAACCGGGCTTAATATTTTTAAACTCAACTCATGGTCTGAACTCACTATAATTGAATCTCCCTAATTAGGCCAGAGTACCTCTAAACTGTAATAAGATAAGGCCACTCTTTCTTCTATTTAATACTAAACACGTTAATGTATAAAATTTTAAAAGTATGAATTTTGACACACAGACGTGGTAGATCGACAGTAAGTTCAACAATTAAGGAGGAGGAGTTTCAGAGGACACAACGATCAACTTTAAGGTACTTCATTTGGTCTTTTCTCGTCAGATTGCACATGATTTGCTAAATGGGCAGTTCACATTACATAATTCAAATATCACTGTTTGTTTCCTGGAGTACAGTATAGTGTTCCCAGTTTTCTCACTAGTTTTTCACGTCAAGACTGCTCTGCTGTGACAGTGCTTCAGTTTATACTTTTTTGTTAGATGTTAGTGAGGGAAATGTCGTTTGCAAAATATTTCGCAGTTAGAAACCCAAAAATAGCAGAGATGAGACAGACAGTAAATGACAGAGTTGCTAAAAGCAAGTCTTTAATTTACTTGAATATTAAAAAATTTTTTATTGAGGCACGAAGACAATCCTCCGCTTTGAATTCAAAAATAGAAATTGATTAACAATGGACTGTTTAGAATAAGTTAGTTGAGAATAAATACAAATCACCTAAAGACAGTTTATATCTTAATGACAAAGTTATTTCTTAATTTAAAAAAAAGCAGTTATGCATTTTCCACTTCTTTTACAATAAATTCACCCGCCCAAACAACAAACTTATCTTGTTAATTTTTAAACACAATTCATAAGTGTTTGCAGTGATTAGTGCTTACTGATCGGTGTTATTTAATCAAAAAGGGGAGTGCCTGTTGTTTCGTTTTAATTTTCCTTCGAAATTTTGGAGAGAATAAAAAGGTTATAACAAGTAGTACAGCAGCTTGAGGTTTTAACAAAACTTGTAAAAGGTGGATAGAATTGTAGCTTGACAGGGCTTCTTAAGCTGTGTTTATTCCACGTGAATTGTTCTTGTATATCAGTCCTAACAGCACCTTGTTTAAAGTAAAAGTTCTCCTATCCACGTCTTGGCATGTATCAAATCTTGTGAAATAACAAAGACTTGAAAAATGTGTTTTTTATTTATTTCTGAACTCACTATGAAATTACAGTTGTGTGTGTATTAATTTGACCATCAAAAGCAGAACTGAAACTTGTTTAAAATGTTTATATTTCCTTGGACTACGTTACCATTGCGTCGAATTTTCCCTAGGAAGGAATTGGCAAAAAACGCACTTATGTTTAAAGGATTTCAGTAAAAGACAAATGAGCACCGTGTTATTGAAAGCTCTATTTATTTTATTTATTATATTACTTAAAAAATTTCGTAGAACTCCACCATAGTTTTGAAATAAGGCAATAAAGAGCATTTTCGTAACTTTGAAACCAGGTGAAGCAAAAGCAACATAAATAATCGTTTTTCATCGCATTGCATTTTTAAATTGGTCCCTCTGTGCCAAAAGATGATAACTTCATCCTCCCAGAAAACTATCTGATACATAGATGATACAGGAAGTGAATAGTGTAACATCTTCGAAATTGAAAAAAGATGTTTTTTTAATTCATAGATCATATCATATGCCACTAACAACTAATTTCTATTATAAGTTAACTAAATATGATAATAGCTATTATTGGCATTACTCTAACGTACTTTCCAATATCAATACTTTGGATTATGCGAAGGCATCATAAAACTGTGATTAATCAGCCTACATCAAGTTGATAATCGGACTGAAATTTCGTTGAAAGAAAACACGATCGTTTCAAAAGTTGTGAAGCTTTCTAGCGTAATAGATAATATTAAAGAGATTCAAGAATAAACTGCCTACGAAGCCGGTGAAGACCATTCCGTAGTTAACAGCCATGTAATCGGGTCCGAACACACGGCTGGTGGCGCCGGGCATCAGAACGAAGGTCCCCGAGAGGCAGAGAAAGAGAAGGCTGACCCAAATTGCATAGATGACCATTGAGCCCGTCTGGACTTGGACAATGTAGGGGAAAGTGAAGAGAATGATTGCCCAGGTTATCAGCATCACGGAGAGCGGCCCCTGGGGAAACACAAGAAACAAGTAATTACTTTCCGTTTTTTTGAGGCGTGTTACCCAATGTTCACCTCTCGAATTCCACTTAGTTCTACTCACAACTTATCCTGCTTACTTTTAACTTTTCATTAGCCTACCCTCTATTGTATAATTCTCGGTTATTGTCTTTAGCTGATTCATGTGATTTAACACACCATTTTCCTCTACTTTAAGAGGCATAAATAAATTATATTTCCATTATATCCTTCCTTAAGTTCCGACAATTCGTTTTTTTATCATAAAGTTGAACTAAATTTTGTAACCGATGAATATTTCAGTGGAATGATGATATTCGCAATCACCTAAGCCTATTCTTATTCTCACATCACAAAATTCTTTCATATTGTGAAGAAAATGGTCTTAAATTAAAAGGAAAATGAAATTTCATTTAGATTTAAAGCTTGATTTAAGCAAATCAATCTGAGAAAATTTAAAGCTCCACACAAATTTGACTAAGATATACGAGCATATGCTGGAAACTAATCATTTCAATTTGAAATTTACCGATTTGTCGTAGTTTTAATTGGTTGAAGCTTTTTGAAAGCGAGAGGAATTGACTTCTTGAAAATATTTTCCACACCCTTGCGTTTTACTTTTTAAGTCATTCATCTTGATACTGGTGCAGTTTTATTTGAGCAACTTTGCCAATATTAAACCACAACCGAAATGATGCTTGGTTGGTTCCCAATCAAACTCCAAGTGGGCAACCAACTCAACCCGTTTCTATTACAATTGAACTTCATTAAATTTCACAAGTGATTGGGCTCACTAGTTTTACGCACGATAATGTAATTAAGTTGGGGTTAATGAAAAATGTCATGTAGCCTGCCATTTGTAATACTAATACTAATAATAAGTTTATTTACATAGGATCTAATTCAAAATATAACTTATAAATTGTGTACAATGAAATAAATAAAGGCCATTTTGCGCAACCGTTGTTAAGTTATGAATAGGCACCTTTAAATTCTCCTTCGCCTGGTAGGGAAAATTTGAAAACTAGCGAATAGCGAACAAAATGCTTTTTATGAAATCAGACAATTTGATTTTAAAGTTAATTGGCTTAAAAGCGAGAAATTCGCTTATTCGAGGAATGAAATCACTGTAATAGACAGTTTGATGCGATATTTAAGTAGCAGGTAGAGAAATTGCCCAAAAAGTTATGAAAAGAAATTCAACTCTCTGATAAAAGAAGATCGAATCCAGAACGTCTCTGTATTAACTTTTATACATTGATGGATCTGTGTCGTTAAATCTTGCTGAGTTCTAATCAGGCACGGGCTTATAATGTAATAAATGGCTGTATTCGATTTCTTTTTTTTTGAAGACAACCTAAGAAGACGCGTAAATCAGGAGAAAGATATAGGCACCGACCTCTATTCCTGTCTCAGAGCTGCACATCCGATATTCGAATACTTTTGCTCAATTATGGGAGTCGTGTCCTATTAACTTTGTAGTCAATATCCAATGATTCTTGGCATCCCATACGTTAAATCGAACAAAGAACATTTGCGCATATTTAAAATACCTCAAAGAAACCCAAATTTGAGCATGCATAGATAGAAAGCCTTGACTTTCATTCCTACTTTCCAGGTAATAGAAATTCTTACATGGAATTACGCATCATCAAGTTGAGTCAGTGAAAAATATAATTTAGAATCAAATTAATTGCATTTCCAGGTGACCTTATCTAACACTAACAAAAAAAAGTTTACTTGTAAGAAATAGATCTTTTCAAAAATGTCACTGGCTGCATTAGGAAGTGCACGAGAAATAAGCTCTTGAAATTAGACTATTTTCTATTAATCGGAGGTCCAATCCTGTCCTTTAATAGCTCCACAAGGTGCTTTAACACCAACGTTCAGCGTCGTTGTGGCCAATTTTACAAAAGAAAATTCTGACTCATTTTTTGCGCAAATAATTTCCAAAAAAAAGACACTACGTCTCTGCTGCAGCAGTGCGCAGGGTTTTTACAAACAACTTAACAAAATTAGGTCAAATTCGATTCCACGAAGACCCCAATAAAATATCCCTTGAATCTATCGAATGAAACTCTAAAATGAAATCCAAATTGATAAATAAATGGTTTGAACATGTTTGCAATGGCGTTTAACCGCAAAAATACATTATGATTACGTTAGTTAATGCCAAAATATTCAATGGAAGTTAAACAAACACAGAAAGGAGTTTTCTTCCAGAGGGCATAAGGCAGATGAGTATGTAGAATAGGCGATCCAAACACGAGGGAATTAAGCTATCTCATGAGCATTCGAGCATTCTGGAGGGTGCTGGCGTGAGTGCAGAGGACTTCCCAGCTAATTAATTATTAAATTTAATTCAAGTTATGTTAAATGGGCTTGAGATGAGGATTAGTTCACTAAACACTATACTCGCTTTACATCTGCTTCTCCTTTTTCATTGAGTTAGCTTAACTCATTTCGGGAGCCTATTCACTATGGGATATTTGGCCATAGAGATTACTGGGGATTAGCCGAGTTTAATACATTTTCTTCTCTACCTAACCACGCGTCGAATATGCAAGAGTATGAATCCTTGGTAAAATGCGTGATATTTATATGGACAAAACCATAGCAAGCTTTCTGCAAAATTAATAAATTTTTAAGTGGATAATTTACTACTACTTGTCACGAGCAATTAAAGTTTACTATCAAGGAGGCTTTTTAAGTTTTAATGCTTCAAAAAATTCAGCCAATCACGATAAATGAGTTGTTTAGAGGGACAATAAATAACTTGTAAGTGGAGTTTTAATTCAAAACCATAGTCATTGAATTGAATGTAATTTGTTAAAATGAAAAGAACAAATCACAGATCATTTGAAAGCTGGATTTAGGATTTGGACACTGGTGGCTATGCTCACACTTCGATCAAAGATGGCTATGGCATTAAATCCAGATTCTTTTTGCATACGCATCATGCTTATAACCTATTCTAAACAACTGGGACGATTCCCTACAATGGCAAATATTGGCCGATTAAACGACTTCCTTTTAGAAAGACACCACATTGCTATGTGCTCAGTGAAGCGATTTACGGCTACTGTTATTTATTCACATCAATAAGGCCAGAGCTGTGGTTAGACTATTGGCATCAATTTAATCCAGGGAATGTGTGAAAGCACGTCATTTCTTCTTCCATTTGAGTTATTTGATCACAAGAGCATCGGCAATTACTCCAACTCAGCTTTAATCCCCCAATAAGCAATCAGCCGACAAATGTCTCTTTATGTTAAATGCTGGAGCCTCCCATGATTATCTCCAATATAGGACTACAACGAGCATAGACTGAACTTGAATAAAAAGGGTAGAAGAGGAAAATACCTTGAAGGAGAATCTGTCACAGATTGCTCCCCACATAATTCGACCACCGGAGTTGAAGAGGGAACTGGCTGTTGCAACTCCAGAGAGAAAACGATCGTCCGAAATATATATTTGTCCCACTAACTAAAGTTGAAACCAAAATATTAAGTATTTATTATAATATGATAATGCGTAATCAATTTTTTTGTAAATTTTCAATGTAGTTTATTTTTGTAACTCAGGTGTTGAGGGTCAACTAACCTTTGCGGTCTCTCTTACAAAAATATTGCCTTTTATAAGCACTAATGTTGATCACAATTAACTGGTCCGATCGGCCCCCAAATTTGGTGGATGTGCGCAGATGGACACTGAACTCATAACCTCTAAATTAGTAGACGTGTAGGCTGACGGCTGCAGCACTCAATTAATCTCGGGCGTAAACTTATCATACAACTTTTAGTATTTTCAGACGATGAGCTTGGTGCAACTCAACTGTCCATGGTCTCTCTTCCGTAAGAGATAAACCCAAGTGACATTAGGAGGATCTTTGTTTGTGATTTTTTTGCCGCAAGAGGTCAATAGTCGAGCAATTGCTCTCGGTTCTATGTTAACACAAGCAGGCTACTATGATTCTCCTTTCTTCTAACTATAAAGAACCTCCGTAGTTGTATGTCCAAGAAGTCGGTCAGCCTACGGAGTTGCATAAACTGTTATATGTTATTAATTATCAATTCTAAAGAGATGGCACAACAAACCTTGAAAGAAGCAGTGATCAGAGTAATTGGAATAATATTGCAAAGCATGATAATCCACAGGAAGTAGAATTCGTGACGACGAAGGCATTGAAGTGGTGGATAATTAATTTCCCTAAAAGAGTTGCAAAGAGCAAGTGAAAGTGTCTCTTTTATTAGTCCTCCCATGCCAAAAAGCAGATATGAAAAACACTCGATTACAAATCCCGTGTGATAATTCCACCATCTTTACTTAGAGCTTTCATTTCTCTCCAAAATGTTAAACTGAAGTGGGAATAGTTAATAGTTTGAGAATAAGCAATTTTACAGTTGAGCTATTGTTATCCAAATCAAGACAAGATTTAAAGAGATGGGGAGGACGAATACAAGAATCAATGAGCAAAAGTCAAGGGGCTGGAAAGAATTCATATAAGCAGCTTAATATGGCTTCGATGCAAGTTTACTTGAACTTGTCTCATGGAGGGTAAGCCAATGAAATGCTTTTCCATTAACAGTCCCAAAGTTTTGTAGTAATTTTGACGTCAAGACTTGGTTCCTTTCTGTTAACCTAAGCGAGCATGTGAGTCACTCAATTTTCTCCGAGTCTATTCTATATGACGAAGTCAGAAGTTTCATTCTCATACCTGGTAAAACGATACTCCATCACTCAAGGAAATGGTATCATAGAACCATCATGATGAGAAATTGAAATTCTGCCACACTCTCTTATTTGTCATATTTAACCAGTTGAATTGAACTTTCTGAGCACTCGTCGACCTATAGGGATATTGAGCTTTTAACCTTTGATTTCACAGATGAATAAATAATTGGTGGGTCATCAATCTCCCTTTATTTGCAACTACAGAATACCAGTTAATTGTCTGGCACCTTCGATTAAGAAAATGACTTTCTTATCACTGGTGAAAAGACTATACGTATTACATTCCAAGCCAAGGCGTTCGAAAACTCATTTTCAAATTCATAAATTATCCCCTCAGTCGGTCACATTTCCTATCGACAGTGCGTTCTTTAAATACGCAAAAAAAGTGATCACTATTTCACTTTAGGAAAGGAGCAATTTAAAGAAATTTCAAAATAATCAAATATATTCATTACATTCTTTCTATACGTGCCAACGAATTTTGTGAGATTGCTTGCGAAATCTGAATGTGGATGCGATTGTAAATTGGTCTTTTATACCAAGCTAAAACTGATATAATGGGATATTGTATTCCTTTACTTCGAAATGTCACAAAATCGACACTTGAAAATTATCCCAAAGTGTGAGAGATTATGTAACCGAAACATCTCAAATTTACTAACAAAAACATTTCACCTACGATGAATAGGGGTAATGAAAATGTACTCCAGTTAAAGAGTTCAATTATAAAATGCGCAGTAAAAATATCAAAATCAACTGGGAATTCGGGAGAAATAATTGCCTTCTTTTTCGCTGTTAAAAGAAGCCCATCTTGAGTGAGCACTATCTATTTCCACCGTGTTGAAGTCATATACTCTTGATTTCTCCATCAGGGTCTTGGCTGTTGGAAGAAAAATCCGCGCCTGTAGCGGCTAGACGATCATCTGAGTTCACCAATTGCCTAATGACATTTGACATTACTCCGAAACAAAAAAAGGCAGAAAAGAACCTTGGTACACGAAAACAACCTCTATCTAGTGTTCCAATTTGATAAGAATCACGAAATATACCCTGACTTAATTACGATTGCTGCTCGGCTCCTTTCTCCTAATTCAACTTGAGATCTAATCCAAAAATAAAATTATATCCCCTAGCCACGCAATGGGATACGCATAAAGCGCCTTCAAACAAAATGTGAGAGCTGCAAACTTTTGAAATGTTTTAAAGAAGACCATTTTGAGGATTTGCGATCGTATGGATGTAATTTGTGTCACTTGGAAAATCCTACTTTGACACGTTGAAAATACGTTTTTAATTAATTTTGGATTCATTTTTATAAATATTCAACATCTGCATTCGCTTGGAGCTATAAGATATCAACATGGGCCTGAGAGATGTCCACACAATTTGATAGCGGAAATAAATCGTGCCCCCCATGGGATTTCGCGTAACTTGATTTCTTGAAGCATTAAAATCAATCTTAGAGCTACTTGAGAGAAAAAAACCACTACACTGGCTACGTAGATAAGAGAATCTCCACAAAAAGTTACGATATATATATATATATATACACCAATGTTTGCCCCGTATTCATAATTGTAGAAAGTACACTAAGAAAAAATTGAAAGACCTCAAAATTCAAGCAAGGGAAGAGCTTGCAAAGTATGTAAAGGTGTTTATTTGAGGGTGTGCTTGAACGTGGCTATAAAAAGGTAAATGTTTGGCTTTAGTAGTCAGGTGTTGGTATCTTAACCATTTCACTCTGTTGGTAGATTTTAAACAGTTCACAATAATACTTTGCTGTTTTTCAGCATGCATTATTGGTCCTCGTGCATGATACGCTTTCTTTTACATTGCAAGCACCTCCTCCTTCATGCACACGTTGAAATCAAGAATGGATGGCTGAAACCAACTTGAAACATGTAACTGAATAATGTTTATTATAATGAGTGCAATCGGCTACTAAAACCCGGAGATTTTCTTCTCTGCTAAATGTTCTCTGAACACTGCACATAAAATCTGGCATAAATTGGAGAATTTCAATGGAAACTACAGGGCTGATGTAGCTAGAAGAAAGCAGCGCAATAGGCCAGCTGATTTCGTTACGCTCGTAGAGTGGATATTTATCAAGCTCAAATCAACGGGTTATTTTTCGTTGAAGACAACTTATGCCAAGGTCAAAAACACAACACGAAGAATAGCGGATAGTTTGGTTTTGCATTCAATGTAAAGGACACTCCTCGTATTGCGCGGAATAAATTTGATCAAAATGTCATGATTTTGGAAAGTGTTCTCCGAGGGTGATCTGATGCCTTCCACCGCATTATTTAAAAAGATGCCTACGTGGTATTGGTTACTAGCTTAACGAACGAGGGTATGACAACAGAATTTGTTCTCCCTCTTCCCCCCCCCCCCACACCCCTCCCCCCCCCCCAACCCCTCCTACTTTGTCTCCCTAAACCCGTCAAAACTCATCGTAACATGATAAACCCGTTGACATAGAAAATAGCCAGTCCGATCATTATACTGTGATAGAACCCCTGCTTGTGTGCGGATTAATGGCAGAGACACGCGTGACCCCTCAAACGGGGAGAATTATTTAGAATAGACTGTGTGGGGGGGGGGAAGGAAAGAGGGACAGGGGTTTGCGTGCTGTCGACCCGTCATGGCAGCTAGTAGCTACGGCGACATGACGACGGTTTTGCGGCGATGATTTTACTTGGCATAAAAATGGAGAAGACGCGTGCTGCCACTATTTATGCATTAGTGCATGCGGAAACATTGATGATTCATGGGCACAAAGGCTTCCTCTGTGCTTGTCATGCAATATTTATACTCTCATGAGTACTGCCCTTGCCCAATATCCCGCTACTGTAATGAGTACTTCTATTATCTTTATAATTAATAAAAAGAATGCAATTGTAGCAAGATGGATTTATAACACGACATCAAAGGAATTCTAGTATAAAAGCGAATTTTTTTTCTGTGGCTTGCGTGCATCATTAATTAGTTGTCATAAAAAGATCAGCAAGTTTTTATTGACTGGCTGATTAGGCAAAATATGGGACAGTTAGAAGTTACGTGATGGCTAATTAAATCACAGAGAAGAGCATTTTTGTTTTCTATGCCTAATAGAAAGCGGTTGTTAACGTGGCAATTTCAAGTTACAGAGAGTATTTATTTCAAATGGCAGGGGTTTTGATAGATATCATTAACCATTTAGCCGACTTCGGGCTTCACAAAGGGAAGGTTCATCAAAGTAGCAGAAAGTCGAGGGGTGGGGAACAGAAGAGCGATTCACAGATGTAAAAGAGACAGACGGACACAAAGGTAGAGAAAAAGGTAAGGTGAATACTGTGGAAGGGGTCGAATATGACAACCAGGGGGGTCGTGGTAGTTAGAAGCCAGAAGTCAACTACCGGTTAATAGACTTTTTTGCCGTATGAGTATACGTTGCCCAGGGTGCACCACGTGGAGGTAAGTCTATCGCACACCCCTGTTACAGAGAGTAAAGGGTGTTAAATTATAT